CCTTCTTTATTTCTGCTGTTAACAAGCTAAGGTTTTTTCTTTTCTTTTTAATGCCACTATCACTAACGGGTTTCACTTTCTAGGTAGCTATAAGGAGTTAATTTAACCGGGAAAATGGCTTAGGAATAATGGCATTCGTCAGTCCCGGGGGACTATGGAGATGTGCCGCTGGCTTTGGGAACAGCATCTGCTGTGACTGTAAAGTCCGATGCGGGAATGGCAGTCTTTGCCACACAGGATACACACAAAAGCAGATACTCCCTCGTTGTGAGGCAGTTTTACTCTCCGGTGTCTCCTCTCCGCAGCTCGTTGTGTTCGGTTTCTTTCAAAATGTGACAGTCCGTCTTTCACTTTCTGTCTCCATAGTAGTCGATCTGCAGCTGATTTTTCCCATGTCTCTGTGCCTATGTTGGTATCTATTAGGTCACGTTTGCATACATCTTTATAGCGCAGCTTTGGCCTTCCTGTAGGTCTATTCCCAGTTACCAATTCACCATATAGGAGATCTTTTGGAATACGACCATCCTCCATGCGGGAGACATGTCCCAGCCAGCGCAGACGTCTTTGCTTCAGTATACAATACATTGATGGCATTTTTGCTCTTGTGAGCACACATTCGTTGGAGACAAGGTCTCGCCATAATATACCAAGGATGAGTCACAGACAGCACATATGGAAGGTATTCAGTCTTTTTTTCCTGTGGAGCATAGAGAGTCCAGGATTCGCAGCCGTACAGTGATGTGCTCAGGACACAAGACTCATAAACCTTCATTTTTGTATTATCAGTTAGCTTTTTGTTTGACCAGACTCTCTTTGTGAGATTTGCAAACATAGCAGAGGCCTTTCCTATACGTTTGTTTAGTTCTGCATCCAGAGAATGATTGCCTAAGATACGTGAGCCTAGGTACTCAAACTCATTTACAGCCAGCAGCTGATGGTCATACACACTAATTTTTGGTAGATTTCCAACATTCAATCCCATCACTTGTGTTTTGTTCAGACTGATGGTAAGCCCAAATTCTTTGCAAGCATTTGCAAAGCGATTCATCAGGATCTGCAGATCATCCTCTGAATGTGCCACAGTGGCTGCATCATCTGCAAACAGAAAATTCCTGAGGCATCTCATGTGCACCTTCGTCCTTGCACGTAGCCTGGACAGATTAAAAACATTGCCATCTGACCTGGAACGGAGGTATATCCCCTCAGTTGCTGTCCCAAATGCAAGCCTCAATAATGCGGTAAAAAAGATGCCAGACAGCGTGGGAGCCAGAACACATCCTTGCTTTACTCCATTTGGAATCTGGAAGGGTCGAGATGATGAATCCTCATATGTTATGGTCCCCTTCATATTCTCATGAAAGGATTTGATTAGGCTCAGTAGTATAGGTGGGCATCCATATTTTTCAAGGATCCCGAATAGACCATCTCTGCTGACATAGTCAAAGGCCTTAGTGAGATCTATGAAAGCAATGAGCAGTGGCCTTTGTTGCTCTCTGCACTTCTCTTGTAGCTGCCTGATGGAGAAGATCATATCAACTGTTGATCTCTGGTCCCTAAACCCACACTGTGATTCCGGGTATACTCTGTCCGCTAGAATTTGCAACCTCTTTAGGATAACACGAGCAAAGACTTTTCCCACATAATTCAGTAGAGAGATACCGCGATAGTTATTTTTATAGAGAGTTATAATGTTGGCATCTCTCATATCCTGTGGCACTGATTTTTCTTGCTAACACTGACAGAGGATCTTGTGTAGCTCAGGAAGATTGGCATACTTGGAGCATTTTAGGATCTCAGGTGGGATACCATCCTCTCTTGGGGCCTTCCCTGAAGGAAGCCCATCTACTGCCTCACCGATTTCTGTGACGGAGGGTTCCGTGTCTAGTTCACCCATGGTTGGCAGACACTCCATTGCATTTAAGGCCTCTTCACATACAAAGGTGCTTGTAGCATATAGCTCTGAGTAGTGCTCCACCAATCGGTCCAGCTGCTTTGTCCGATCCTTTATGATTTCGCCCGTGGTTGATTTGAGAGGGGCAATCTTTCTTTATACTGGCCCAATAGCCTTCTTGATGCCAGCATACATTCCCTTTATGTTGCCAGTAGCTGCTGAGGTTTGTATCCTCTCACAAAGTTTGATCCAGTAATCATTAGCGCAGCGCCGTACAGTTTTCTGGACTCTAGACCGAATTGACCTGAGCACTTGCAGATTTCTGATATTTGGCTGGATTTTATATCCCAATAAAGCCTTGTTCTTCTCCTCTATTATTGGCAACATTTCTTCCTTGTGTTCCTCAAACTAGTCCAGTGATTTAACTTGCCTCTTACCGAACACGGACATGGCAGAATCATATAGGGCGTGTTTTAGATGTTTCCATTTGTCACTAGCATCCGCGTTTGGTGGGCCGGGCAGAGCTGTGCTCAGGATTTTTATAAATTCTCCTACTTTTCCAGGATTACGACTTTCTCCTGTGTCAATGCGGGGCCGTCCTGGCCTCTTTGCCCGATGTATTCTGCTTGGGATTAACTTCGCTTTGCTGCACACAAGGGAGTGATCTGTGTCACAATCTGCACTGTGATAGCTGCGAGTGACCTTAACAAGATGAAGGTGACTGCGTTTAGTGAGGATGATGTCAAGCTGGTGCCAGTGCTTAGATCTGGGATGTCTCCAAGAGACCTTGTGCCGGGGCTTCAGATCGAAAAAGGTATTTGTGATGCAGAGGTTGTGAAGACAGCATAGCTCAAGCAGCCTCTGTCCATTTTCATTCATTTTTCCTACTCCAAAATGTCCCATACAGGATGGCCATGAGCTGTGCTCAGCGCCCATTCTTGCATTAAAGTCACCCAAAATGAATAGGGCTTCCCTGTCCGGGACTTCGCTGCGTGTGGAACTGAGTTCCTCGTAAAATTTGTTCTTGGAGTCGGGAGAAGAGGGCAGGGTTGGTGCATAGGCACTTATCAGAGTGACTGGTCCAGCTCTTGTCTGGACCTGAATTTTAAGGATCCTTTCTGATCCTCCTGTAGGTGGTATGGCAGTTCCAAGCAATCGGTTCCTAATAGCAAAGCCTACGCCTTGTTCCATGGACTCCGAAGATGGTTTTCCCTGCCAGAAGAATGTGAAGTCCTTCTCTTTGATGCTACCTGAGGAGGAGAGCCGGGTTTCCTGTAGGGCAACAATGTCTACGTTCAAACGGGACAGTTAATTGTTAATGACTGCAGTTTTCCTTACATCGCTCATATGCTGCAGATCGTCCAAAATACCAGGTGTCATGGTCCTCACGTTCCATGTGCCCAGCTTTAGAGCTGGGAATCTGATTTTTTGGCTTCTTTGTGTAGGTACAAGGATTACAATCCGTATGTCGGGTTATCCCCTAAGTCCTGTGCACCCAACAAGGCAAACAGATCGTGGCGGGAAAACACCTTACTGACTGGGGGCTGCCCAGCTGAGGCGGGCGGTAGCTGTCCAATGAGACTACGATGGTCTCTCCCACCGTCGGAAACAACCCCTGGCGCCTAGCTCTACGCCAATTGAGGCTTATAACCGGTGACTGCTGTTTCCCGTGTTGTGTCGAAACTGTTAAGCATCGCTGGAGTGACCTCTCCAGGGCACAGGCCAGGGCGTTTTGATTTGGAGTACAGACTGTTGCCCAGGCAGCAAGTACCCCCTCTCTACGTCGCCGGTGAAACCAAGGGAAAGGCAAAAACCAGTACAACTTGGCACCGAGGACGTTGCAGGAATTACCGGAATAGCACTGTATACATGCTAAACCGCCTTAGGGATTCCAGCTCCGGATTTTTCCTCAGGGTTTACTCCCGAAGCGCTTTCCCAAAAATGGGTATGGCCACAAGGCAGTGGAGGTGTGTAGTCAGAGTTTACCTTCTCCTAGATGAGCTGCACTCCCGTGCTGGCGAGCCTCATCTGCCCGTGGTTTGAAATCAGAGTATTCCTTCTCCTAGATGAGCTGCACTCCCGTACTGACGAGCCTCATCTACCCGAAGCGTCTGGTTAAAGCGCCAGAGACCCGCTTTCGCCCCTTTTCCTGTTAGTTTAAACATCTCCGCCACGAGAAGGCCAGGAGTTGGAATTATGCTCTCAGAGGCTTTGAGAGACGCATGCCTTGAGGGTATTTCATGCAGACTGAGAGCTTATCCTCAGCCCCGCCCTCGGCGTAACAGCATTTGGAGACTGGCTTAGGAATAACGCAACGATAAACTGTGTTTACAGCCCGCAAAATGAGTACAACCAATGTGGTACAATTAACGAAATCAGGCCCACAAACAGAGTGACTTTCCTTCCTACTGATGCCTTGAAGTAACGCAGGACGTCTTCTATGTTACAGGGGTGTCAGGTATTCCTTATTGTCAACGCTTTAAAAACCTCTCTGTTTCTTCGTTTTGTCACCCCTGATTTGCATGATTATTTCCACGTTTTGTTACCTGCGCACTTTGGGAGTAGGGAAACTGTTATGTTTTTCAATGCCAACTTGTCTGTTTAGTGCGTTCTCTGTCTCGGGAGGAAGCCACAACCAACGAACATAGAAATAACAAAAAAAAAAAAAAAAAGATCCAAATTTTGATACTCCCGGATCGTCGCGCCTCTGCGCTTCCCTCTGCAGTACTTCTTACTTGTTAAAGGCGCCCACGGCACATCAAAGCGACTAACGACAACACAATCTCACACAAACACTAAATACGCCGACTGAACCACAAAGCAAACATCCCTGCAGCATAGAAGACGCGCTGCGTCACAATGAGGAATCAGTGTGAAGGGAAGTGTTATTTATTAGCTAAAAACATGACGCCAACGCCATCCTTAAGTTTCTTTCGCTGGCTCCGGCATTGTTCGCAGGTGAAACAAATATTTGTTCGAAATTGTGTTCGTGACTAGAGGTGTCGGTGATCCAAATTCCAACTATGCTTAGTATTTTTGTTGTTGTCATACATGTTTAGCTCTAAAGCGTTCTGCTGTATAACTCACTTACTTGTTTGGCTTGTTTCAGGTTAATATCTCTAGCCATTGTACGGGGAGTGGTCAGTTTTCAATCTCCTCTGGAGTGCACTGTGGGGCTAAGAGATCTGATCCTGGGCCACCTGGTCATCCTTGCTGTCTGCATTATCCTGGAAGCTATCATCGCCTTCGTCAGCACCAGAGGCAGCATCCTCGCCCCGGCACCCAGAGCCAGCATTGAGTATTTCCTCTATGCTAGATTAGGTGAGTTCCAGCTGTTCTTTTTTTAATGCTAAAGCGCGGTGTGCTTATGTTTTTCCATGCTAACTGCCAAAGTGTGGTGTGCTGCTGTTTCTCCGTGCTAACTGCCAAAGTGCGGTGTGCTGCTGTTTCTCCTTGCTAACTGCCAAAGTGCGGTGTGCTTCTGTTTCTCCATGCTAACTGCCAAAGTGCGGTGTGCTTCTGTTTCTCCATGCTAACTGCCAAAGTGCGGTGTGTTTCTGTTTCTCCATGCTAACTACCAAAGTGCGGTGTGCTTCTGTTTCTCCATGCTTACTGCCAAAGTGTGGTATGCTACTGTTTCTGCATGCTAACTGCCAAAGGGCGGTGTGCTTATTTTTCTCCTTGCTAAATGCCAAAGTGCGGTGTGCTTCTGTTTCTCCATGCTAACTGTCAAAGTGCGGTGTGCTTCTGTTTCTCCATGCTAACTGCCAAAGTGCGGTGTGCTTCTATTTCTCCATGCTAACTGCCAAAGTGCGGTGTGCTTCTGTTTCTCCATGCTAACTATCAAAGGGCAGTGTGCTACTGTTTCGAAGGTCGTGGGTTTAGACCTTGACCGAGTTGGCCTGTTTAAAAAAAATGGCCTTGCCTTCCAGGTCGACAAGCTTTAAGAGAGTACCAGGTAAAGTCCTTTGAAGTAAAGATAGTCGGCGTGATTGTTTATAAAATCTATAAAATATAGGTCTAGTCTGATGTACCCAAGAAATTTCAGAGAAATTTGCCTAAAAAGCTCAACAGTTTTGTGCACGTTTTTCTGCTTCCCCACTTTGTTGCTTTTTAGTCAAATTTATCTGTAATTACTTGTATTAGCTTGACTGCAGTCACCCCCCATATTTTCTCCTCTGTGCCCAGTACGTCTGAAGGTCAGAGTTCCAGTGTTTTCCTCATGCTTTTGAAGTGCCAATGTTTCCCTGGTGCTGTTGAAGAGCCAGCGTTTCTCTGATGCCAACTGTTGAAGTGCCATTGTTTCCCTGATGCTGTTGAAGTGGCATTGTTTCCTTCATGTTGTTGAAGTGCCAGTGTTTCCCTGATAGTGTTGAAGTTCCAGTGTTTTCCTGATGCTATTGAAGTACCAGTGTTTCTGTGATGCTGTTGAAGTGCCAGTGTTTCCTTGATGCTGTTGAAGTGCCAGCGTTTCCTTGATGCTGTTGAAGTGGCAGTGTTTCCTTGATGCTGTTGAAGTGGCAGTGTTTCCTTGATACCAACTGTTGAAGTGCCAGTGTTTCCGTGATGCTGTTGAAGTGGCAGTGTTTCCTTGATACCAACTGTTGAAGTGCCAGTGTTTCCGTGATGCTGTTGAAGTGGCAGTGTTTCCTTGATACCAACTGTTGAACTGCCAGTGTTTCCTTGATACCAACTGTTGAAGTGCCAGTGTTTCCTTGATACCAACTGTTGAAGTGCCAGTGTTTCCTTGATAACAACTGTTGGAGTGCCAGTGTTTCCTTGATACCAACTGTTGAAGTGCCAGTGTTTCCTTGATGTCAACAGTTGAAGTGCTAATGTTTCCTTGATACCAACTGTTGAAGTGCCAGTGTTTCCTTGATACCAACTGTTGAAGTGCCAGTGTTTCCTTGATACCAACTGTTGAAGTGCCAGTGTTTCCTTGATGCTGTTGAAGTGCCAGTGTTTCCTTGATGCTGTTGAAGTGCCAGTGTTTCCTTGATACCAACTGTTGAAGTGCCAGTGTTTCCTTGATATCAACTGTTGAAGTGCCAGTGTTTCCTTGATATCAACTGTTGAAGTGCCAGTGTTTCCTTGATGTCAACTGTTGAAGTGCTAATGTTTCCCTGATGCAGTGGTAACACATTGGTGGTTAAAATAACTGCAAACGGTAATTCAAGAAAATCTGTAACAATTTTTTTTCATTCTTGTGTCCATTTTCCCCTTTGTGCCTCTAGGCGTCGCAGGTTATTGAACATGTCATTTAATGTTGTTTTGTGTTCTTTTAATCTTTTTAGACTTATCAACAACTGATTAGGCGAACAGAATAACCGTCGTTGGTAACAGCTTTGAAATAATTAAAACATTTACACACACACGCAAGCGCGCGCGCACACACACAAACACACGCACGCGCGCACACATACGCTCGCACACACACACACACTCACATATGCGGGCGCTAACAAACATGGTTTATTACAGCTGCGACTGTACTTGTTCACAACTATATATATGTGGTTGTTTTAGCTAGGTCAAAGTTTCTCAAACTGTTTTCACCTCGGTACCCTTGTCGGGTCGGCTCTGTGGCTAAGTCGATGTGAACGCTTCGTAATGCCGGGATGCCGGGTTCGATCCCATCTGCGGGCCATGCGCCTTGCGTTGGTTCCGACAGTGGTATCAAGAAAGCCGACCGTCCAGGAAGCAATGGCAAACTACTAGACGTAAATTTGCCTAGAAAAACCACACAACAGACAGAGGCTGTCAGCGTTGGTTCTGCAACGTCCTGTAAACCCTTGTCGGGCAAAAATTTTTTCTCAGCACACCTACCCTTCAAGCGGTTTGAATACCCAGGAAAATAAGAAAATAACAGTGGAAATGTAATGTTCATTTGTCTTTAATGCGATGCATGAAACTGTCTGGATGAAGGTTTCATTATTTCCTTTATGTTTATGGGAGGTTTAGTTAATTGTACTCTCAAATCACTTGAAGGTTGCTCCTATGTTTTTTTGGTAAGCGTACGTTGAGAATGCACTAAAGCCTTGCCAGTAGCATTGTTTACTGAATACAGCTACATGCAGAACTCTTCTTGACTTCCTTCATGATATTTCTGTCTTTAACTGCTGTCTTCGCTGATCTCAAGACGATGTTGACAAATTCTTGATTATTGCTGCGACACCCCTGGCATACACTCGTGACACACAGTTTGAGAACCCTGGAGCGAGCTGCTGTCAAGTACCTTTGAGAGCAAATGAACAGTGCCGAAGGATGAGTGTATATATCATAGCGACGTGGAGAGAATGCGGCAACTGGGTGTCACCACGGATCTGCTCTACACTTGACAATCAGGGGATATCGAATCAGTTTCTATTACTCATTCTTCTTTACATAGTTTTGGGGGTGGGGAGGGGCATTAGAAGAATAAGAAAAATGACTGGTGACTGACTGACTGACTTTCTACCCCACCAGGACATCACACAAGCGACAAACACCCGATGACACAAAGTGCCACCATGCGGATGAGGATCACCGTGGAGAGGTCCCAGAAACCGCGTTCAGACAATTGGTCATATTGATGGCCTGCCTATATTGCGGCCCCTGGCAAAAGCCAGAGTGGGGCTTCAAATAAGAAAAATTACGTCCTGAAAAGGACGTAAGTAAGTAGTTAAAATGACTGGTAAAAAAAAAAAAAATTATATTGTTTAATACGCATCATATGAGTAATGGATGCACAAGACACACATTTTTGATTTCTTATATGTTAATGAACACCTTAGATTAAGCATTTCTCTTGATAAAATTCATCGACAGTTGTATACTAGGACTTTTCAAAGCCCACTGTGTCCCGTTTTTTGCCATTGCGATGTCTCGCCCCCCCCCTCCCCAACCCACCCACATTCCAAGATAACATTGTCTGGTTGGAGGAGGGGGAAGAAGAATTCATTAACACACGCATTTGCAGGGCATTAGCAGTTTTAAGAGGCTGAACATAATGTGCAACTATACATTGAATAGTTTTAAAACATTGTTACCTCTTTTTAATTGTGATGTTATTTCAATTTTAACAAATGCCAGTCAAAGTTTGAGAACACCGGCTGACTGACTGACTGACTTTCTACCCCACCAGGACATCACACAAGCGATAAACACCCGATGACACAAAGTGCCACCATGTGGATGAGGATCATCGTGGAGAGGTCCCAGAAACCGCGTTCAGACAATTGGCCAAATTGATGGCATGCCTATATTGCGGCACCTGGCAAAAGCCAGAGTGGGGCTTCACATAACAAAAAATTACGTCCTAAAAAGGACGTAAGGGATAACAGCCGCAGCGGTGACCCTAATATAGCCTAACGGTTGAACGGGGTTTCTGGGACTTTACTCCGGTGACCCTCATCTGAATGGAGGCATTTTGTGTCACCGGTTATTGGTCGTTTGTTATACGATCCTGGTATTGTTGAACGAAACACATTTGGATATGAGAAAGGGTTTGCAAATAGTTGCGTAGGGGAGATAACAATGGGATATGAGAAAGGGTTTGCAAATAGTTGCGTAGGGGAGATAACAATGGGATATGAGAATGGTTTTGCAGATAGTTGCGTAGGGGAGACAACTGACATGTTTTTATGATAAAGGACGCAGTAGCAGACGTACGGATCTTACATCATTTTATGCCGTTATACATCACTGTTGTGTGCTATCTGAGTTACACACTAATCAGCTTACTCCCAAATGTCTATAGATATAACTTTCCCCTCAACACTCTGGAAGCAGGACTCGACGACAGTAGTTTCGTCATACCGTACGTTTATTCGACAAGTTACAAGTCCTCACAACAACACAACTGCACAGACGTAGACATTGATCCTAATTGATATTCGAACATAGTGGACATAGTCCTCACTCGCTCTCTCTCAACTTGTAGCGACCTCTCCCTGACTATTACAGCTCCGAAGGTCTACAGCGTCCCACAACTCTGGGTTCGCCGTACAGCTAAACAGGATGAACTCTAATATCCAATGGACCTTGATATTTGTTCAGCAGACAACAACGGCTGACTGGAAACGGACTTCACTTGCTCGTTCCCCAGCATGTGCCCACAGCACATCAGCCTGTCGAAGGACTCCGATGTCCGACAGGACTTCTAACACAAGTTCCCTCTAGCACACAGCTTTCGTCGGCATCCCTATTGTTCTATTGTTTCCATGGTGATCCTACGTCTCCTTGCACCGTCACCCAGAACAGTCACTATTGGAGCATCCAGTCCCCTTTGGCCTTACTTCGCCAGTGGGACTACACCTTCGACCCACGGCCTGCTCTATTAGAGAAGGCGTTGCTTCGACCCGTACCGTAACTATAACTCTTACTCAGACCTTGATGTCTGATAGTTGCACGGTACTCTGTCTGTCTTACTCGAGAGGTACTGACTGACCGTGATTTGGTCTCTTTTTCGCTGTCTTGGGCGTTCTCGGGAATCATGCTCAAGTGGGCGTTCTCGAGACTCACTCTCATGTGGGCGTTCTCGATGATCACGCTTATGTGGGTGGCTGATGTTACATGAGAGTCACGCTGTCACGTAATTCATATTTTCTAGGTGCGTCTTGTTAGCCATGCTTGTCAGCTCCCACTCAGTGAACCCAGGCATCTACTTCCACGTGACACTACACTTCACACTGGCACACTGGTAGACATTTTATCCCCCTCACTACTCTGGCCAATGTTGACACTGTTCGCTTGAACTCCCGGAAAGTGCTATCTTACTACTATGTCCCTTCACACACTATTACACTCTCCCAAATCAGCACGCCACAATCACATAGGGCTGGCAGTCTGTTCCTTCATTTATTGCTGTCCTGTTTAATCCTCTTGATATTGATGGAATCTAGCCCAGCAGCTTTAAGCTTTCTTAAGGACGTTTGACTAATGATTTCTCTTGAACATCGCGGTTTTCCTCAAAGCCACGTGTTTCTCATTACAGTGCCTGTTTGATGATCTCCCTGTCCACTTCTCCTGACGCCGTGACCCATATATTGCCATTTTTGTTTCTTATAACTGTTTGGGGATCCAGACATTTCTCTTATTTCTTCGCCTTTCTCGAATAAATCCCATTTTCAATAATTCCTTCAGATGTTTGCACGGATACCTCACAAAGAGACGTGCAATTTCAGCAGCTAGTCGCTTCCGTGACAGCCCGAGGATTTTGGGTTCAATTCATGTCGTAGCGGATTCTTTTATGTGGCCAGGACAATCACATAGAGCTAGCTTCAAATGGATACCAGAAGATGTCATGTAAAGTAACTGCGGCTGATGTGACGTTAACCACATCACATAGGAAATGTCGATTCATCTATTCTTCTTCTTCTTCTCGTTCACCGGCTGTAAACTCCGGCGGAAAGTTCTGGTTGTTCCTCCACTTCTGGACTGCAGTCCTGTTTCAAAACCTGAGTGTTGCGTGTGCATCCGTTTGACAGATCTGTATGCAGACTGTTGGTTCCTTGCCTCTCAGACAGATTCACTCCGACTTCGAAGGAAGCTCCTAATTAGTCGACTCTTACGACTATGAAAGAACGGGTTATTATTATTTACAGGATAAAAACAAACGTGGAAGCTTGCCCAAGTAGAATATATTTCGAAGGCTTAAACCGGTTGACCTATTGCCCATTTTCTTATTTTTGTTTCACATTTTTGTTCTTGTTCGTCTTCTTGATCTCGTCCTTTTATTTTACTCTTATGACATGCTTGTTCCTTAGGCAGTGTGTATATTCTGGTCCCCCTTCCTTTCAGTGCGGCCCTGGCACCCATACGAGGTCTATTTTTAGAAGAAGAAGAAGGAAGAAGAAGAAAAAGAAAAAGAAGAAGAAGAAGAAGAAGAAGAAGAAGAAGAAGAAGGAGGAGGAGGAGGAGAAGGAGAAGGAGGAGGAGGATTAGGGTGCCTATTAATATTTCATAATGTTATTCTCATGTTAGTTTTGTAACCGTATCAAAGAGTGATAGAGAGATAGCAAGATAGAAAAAGACAGAAAAGAAGGCCGGGACAAAAATAACCGCAGACATCTGAATAGGGAACCAGAATTGGGTCCAAATCAGAACATGACAAATCAGATTGCGTCACTTCCTGGTACGTGCAGTTTTTTCCAGAAAGCACTCCACTCCATATCCCCCTCCTCCTCCTCATTCACTTCATCGTCCTCATCTTCTTCTTCTTCTCTCGAACTCCAAAATGCAAACAAAAACCCTGCTCCCTCTTTGTCCTAAACAACTCACCACACGTTTCTTTAAGGATAATATAATTTACATTACTTTGCTTCTGTGACAGAAGAATGCTATATCATTCCTTGCCTAGATTACTAGTGTAATTTATAATGTCTCGTAGCGTCTATCCTGAACACACACACACAAGGACACAAACGAACAGTGCCTACATGTCGTTGCCAGGTAAGTGAGCTCAGTAACGGTGTTGACCACATCACCCATCGATCACGCATTGGCCTATCCTTGAAAGAGTTTAAGTAACAGCTGCTTGAGGTTACTAGAGTGAAAGAAAGTAACTCAGTTCTTGAGTTGCTTGGTCGCTGTAGAAGTGAATGAAAGGTCGTTTGTATTTGCCATAACATTTCCTGGTGCACGAAACAGCAAAGAAGTGACACTTAGGGCGTATATGGTACATTTGTTACATAGAACCTCTCTCCTATGTTAGGCACATAGAACATATTTGCTATAGTTGGCACTCAGCTACTATCTGCTACGTAAGCCACATATAATTAATCTATTTGCTAAATTTGGCACAAAGAGCCTATCTGCAACATTAAGCACTAAGAGCGTTTTGCTACATTAGTCACGTAAAGGAAATTTTATACATTAGGCACACATAGCGGATTTGCTACATTAGACACACTAGCATATTTGCTACATTAGGCACATAAAGCCTATTTGCTACATTAGGTACACATAGCATATTTGCTACATTAGACACATAAAGCATATTTGCTACATAAGACATGCATAGCATATTTGCTACATTAGACACATATAGCATATTTGCTACATAAGATGCATAGCATATTTGCTACATTAGACAGATATAGCATAACTGGTACATTAGGCACACAAAGCGTTATGCTACACCGTACACACATCGCGTATTTGCTACATTAGGCCCAAATAGTCTTTAAAAAAAAAAAACATTTAACACGTATAGTTTATTTGCTATAAAAGTACTTTTAATGCATTTGCTACATTAGTTATTGACTCGGCTTGATCTGGTTGTTTCAGTGGTGGGTCTCGCGGAGCTGGCGTGGCTAATCATTGGTGCGGTTTGGTCATCCAGGCACTATAGTACATGCACACCGGACTCAGCCAAGAAATCGTTGCTAGGTAAGTGAGGCAGGGGACACACGCACACGCATGCACGCACGCACACACATACACACACACTCTCTCTCTCACACACTCACACACACTCACACACACACACACACACACACACACACACACATATATATATATATATATATATATATATATATATATATATATATATATATATATATATATATATATATATATTCCAATGTATCGCGAACGAAACCACTGCTGGCTGCGTGGATTTTTATGGTCGACCCATCCTTAGATGGGTACCTGGGGAAGTAAAGACGGCCGGCGTAATGCTGACCACATTACCCAACTAGTGCAGATTGGTCTGTAAAAGAATGGGTGCACTTCCCATATGCCCTGAAAGGCGTGAAAGGGGATCTTTACCTTTCTTTACACGAACGGCAGATAAACTTTCCCTAGATACAGAAATAAACAGATGAATGGGAAAAGCTTCAGCAAGGTTGTCCAAAATCATAACAAGATAGTGCTCAAACAAAAAGCTTACGAATAGAAGCAAAATTACAGTTTCTGAAGCTTGTGTCCTGAGCACGCTCCTTTTCGGCAGTGAAACTCGGTTATATGCTCCTAAACAAACAAACAAACAAACAAACAAACAAACAAACAAAAAGATTGACAACAAAATTATACATAAACAAGCTGAACATAAATGCCTTTGAATACAAATACAAATACAAATGTTATTGGCGGGTTCTAAGAATATCATGGGTAAAGAAAAGAACAAATGCATCCATACTTCAAGAACTGAATATTCAAGAAGGTTGGCTATTAAAGACGATAAAACACAGAACATTGAAATATTCTGGTCACTTAAAACGTTACGAAAGTTTGAGAGAACAATAATGGAGGGATGTATGACTGTGAAGAGAGGAAGAGAAAGGACAAAGAGAAGCTAGGTGCAGGATGTGGTGGATGATTTCCAGATAAGTGTATCGGACGCGGGACATCTTGCTTGTGATCGAGAAGTTTTGCGGAGGGTTGTTATGGGTGCAAGGTTCTGCAGAGGACATACTACTGACTGAATTACCTTCCACGTGCGCTAAATGAGACGCATTCTTGTATTTGATGGCAAGACAATGAATATGCACTCAAAAGACCAGGAATGCCAACAGTGTACTTTCTATTGAAACAAAGAAGCTCTTCCTATTTGAGATATGTCTCTTGCAGGGAGGACGGTCGCATTTTAAAAGGATCTTCAGTATGGTGAAAAGATCTGTAGAAGGCCAGAACTGAGCTATATATAACCACATATGCAAACGCGATCTTGAGGTTTTGAGGTTTGAACAACGGATCAACATCATAGCACACAGGTAGTAACCCATAGTGCTCCGTTCTTCTTCTAACTCAAGTCTGAGTTCGAAGAGGCTCAGCACAGTGCACAGGCTCTGTAGCACCGGCGAGGATCCTGAAATACTTTAGGTAGATTTTAAACTCTAAATTTTGCCAGGCCAGTGCCGTTAGGCTACTCTTTTGGATTTACAACTGCTATGGGATTTTTACGTGCGCAACAATGCACACAGGCGTCCGATCTCACTAGCCTACTACTACTACTACTACTACTACTACTACTACTACTACTACTACTACTACTACAACAACAACAACAACTACTACTACTACTACTACTACTACTACTGCTGATGCTGCTGCTGCTACTATTACTACTACTACTACTACTACTACTACTACTACTACTACTACTACTACTACTACTACTACTACTACTACTACTACTACTACTACTACTACTACTACTACTACTACTACTACTACTACTACTACTACTACTACTACTACTACTACTACTACTACTACTACTACTACTACTACTACTGCTTTGCGGCGGCGGCAGCGGCTGCTGCTGCTGCTGCACACACACACACACAGACATGGACACACATGACCTATCGATCACGCATTGGCCTATCAAAAATATGTGTCTAGCCTCACGTGCCTGATGCGCCAATGGCCCGTGAAGGGACGTTTACATGTACACAAACACAATACAAACACAACACACTCACGCTCACACGGATGTGCAGCTAGGTAAGTGAGATGAAGAAAAGACACATACATAAATACACGCATACAAACACACACTATGCTTTGTTATTGATTTCTCTCTCTCCCCCCCCCCCCCCCCCCCAAATAAAAAAATACCTCAATCTAGTTAGTTTCGTACACTCCAGCGGAAGTTGTACATTTTTACAAAACCTTTAGTTCTACTTTTCCCGTCTGTGATGTTTGTTTCCAATTATTTCCCTGCTGGTTTTGCTGGTCTTGTATTCTGTTTTCGTTTAATTGCGTCTTTATATTTTTATTTTCTTTCAAGTCCCCCACCAGAGCCACAGCCCATTAAAACATGGACGTCCTGACTCGTGTTCATGTAGGCGAAGACTAAGAGATGCCCTGAAACATTCAGGTCATGAAAATACCTTTTCCGTATGTGAAATCAGAGACCTCGTGCTGGGTGAGGGGCGGGACGGGGGAAAAGTGTGTGTGTGTGGGGGGGGGGGGGGGGGGCAGATTCACTGCTCCCTGTTTTCAGTTAGTTTGTCTTCAAAGCACTCCGGACACATCCATAGGTGCTCAGATTCCCCTCTCAACATATTCATCAGCGTCGTGCAGTTAATAGTACCAGTCCTTTTTTGGTTAGCAATACTTCGAGTTTGTCCGGTGTGCTTCTCATGCTTCGCTGTGCGGATCTTTACTCCTAATTCTCGTATTCTTATCAGTGATGTGGACACGTTGCTTCCAAAATCCTCAGAACGTCCTATCTCTATAAGGGCAATGACAATGTCTGCGTGATCCACAGGCTGGCCATCTTCAATTATTGCAGCACCCGCCAGTCTATCAGCCTTTTCATTACCAACAAAGCCTGCATACCCTGGGGCGAATATGAAGGCAACTACTAGGGCTGTACCGAATAGTGATTTTCACTATTCGGGCGAATATGAATAGCTGGACCAACTATTCGGCCGAATACGAATACGAATAGTGAATCATCATCATCATGTGCTTTGCCGGCTGGCATGGGCGATTATGCCTCGCCACAATCTGCGATCTCCTGCAGCACGTTTTAGTTCGTGTGCTGACACACCTCCATGAAAAACCTTCGTTCCATGTTGTCAGCATTAGGGCAGCTTTTTTTTTTCTCACTGAAGATATTTCCAGCTGTACTAAACAGGAAAATACGACAAATACAGAGAGTCAAGATAAAAACCCGCAAGGCGAAACATCAAAAACAAAAATAACGCCGACGAAGAAAACAATGCCGTCCTCACAAGTCGCCCAGCGCCAACGCCAGAAGATCAAACAACAAAGACAACGAAGAAACCGAACGTCAATCAAAACATTCAGCCGCTGCCGTTTCCACGAGACGACGAAAGAACAGTTAGGACACCCATAAATGATGACGAACACCCGTTACTTCAAACAATCAACGAAGAGGACTCTCCACTCAAAGAAATCAAGCCGACAACACTAGAACACTTGCTTTTTCTGCCCCTCTTACATTTTTAAGTGTTGCATTTTGTTTCTACAGCAACACAGCTAAAAACTCTATACTCGCAACACATATAAGATGGAAATAAAGGGGCACTTGGTACGCTCGTAGGTGGTGCACAAAGATAACGCTTGACAGTATAAACCAAGGTGGGAACTCTTGAAGTTTTTTTTCCCACCAGTCCAGAAACGGTTGTAAAGTAACCACTATTCGTATTCGGCCCGACCGCAACTATTCGGCCGAATACCGAATAGTTATTGGGTCCACTATTCGGCCCCGAAGCGAATACGTAGCGAATATTCGGTACAGCCCTAGTAACTACACACACAGGAGAGTTTTGCAATGACTCAAACTGCTGTGTGCGTAACCAGCCTGCCTCGACCGGCCAGATCATGCTCAAAGAATCACTCAGCACACACACGCGGGAATAGTCCTGTAATCCTAGCCACATGAAAGCCTGTGTCACCGCCATCACCTCCATCGTTATGCTGCTGGTAGTCATTGAGAAGTCACCGCTGGCAGGGTTGCCATATTGGCATTTTTTATGCCAGATTCCAAAAATTTTGCATATTTGAAATTGAACTGGCATAAGATAATGAACTTGCATATTTTGGCATATTTGGGTTTTTCCTGGCTTTTCTTATCAAGATGTGCTCACAGTTTCTTTATGGTTCCTTCGTTAGATACACGCAGATTTACTTAAAGCAATGTAGACCTACAGTTAAAATCTTTTTTTTTTTCAGTTTGACTTTGTTGTGATGTCCTGATACGGACTAACGGAGATACGTATCTTATGACATCGCAAGTATAATAGTAACTAGAAGAAAACATACCCACGGCTCAAAATATCTTCAGACGGATCAGAGGCAGCATATTGTAAACTGTGTCAGTGTACTGTTGCAACAAGAATTAGTAGCATATCAAATCATGACACATCCGAAAAACACAGGATGAAAACTCCGTCAAAAAGCCAGTCACAGCTTTATTACAACAATGACTCCGAGGCAAAGTAATGATAAAATTAAAGGCAGCAGAGTTGCAACTTGCTGTAGGCATGACCTGCCATATTGCAATACGCACAATTGATCACCTAAGTGAAATCATGAGAGCACATGGTCGGGGGGAGTACATTGGAGCACATACAGTTGCATAGAACTAAATGTACATGCCTAATAACAAAAATATAATATCGCCTGAACTTAAGGATGACATTATTGATGATTTTCGGAACAAGAAATGTGCCATCAGTATAGATGAGTTGCAAAAACTTCATCCCATCTGAGAAAATTCTAAAGATTTTACATCCGAAAAGGTTTACGCCATGTCTTCCACTTGTTCCAGTGAGGATGACAGTGAAGAGTTCAGTCTATAGCCTTTGATGTGAAGCAAGTACAATGTTACTCTTTATTTGGCATTTTCTGGCATATTTTTGGTAATGGTTTGGCATAAAATGAAGTTTTTTTTTATCTGGCAACCC